AGGACATGTATTCATTATTTAAAATAAAAATAATCACAGAATGTCAGGGGTTGGAAGGGACCTCAAACGATCATCTAGTCCAGCCCCCTGCCAGAGCAGGATCACCTGCAGTCGATCCCAGGGTTTGAATGTCTCCAGAGCAGGAGACTCCACACCCTCCCTGGGCAGCCTGGGCCAGGGCTCTGGCACCCTCACAGTGAAAAAGTTTTTTCTAATATTTTTGTGGAACCTCCTGCGTTCCAGCTTGTACCCATTGCCCCTTGTCCTGACATTGGACGTCGATGAAAAGAGCCGGGTTCCGTCCTCCCGACACTCCCCTTTGACGTATTTACAAACATTTATGAAAAAAAAATCAATAGCAATTTCTTTTAAAAACGTGGATACTCAACTTTCAAATAATATATACATATATATGCACACACCCTTAGAACTTTATCTTGAAATGTGTCTTAAAAAAAAAAAAAAGCAAAAGCAGACCTATTGCCTCCCAAATCCCAGGGAAGTCTCGGTTCTTGGTACCACCTCAATTCAGGGCATTTGCATCCACAGCTTTGCTCGAGTCCCAAGCCCTCACACGGAAGTAAAGCAGTGACTGCTCTGGGCCAATATTGAAAGGAAGAGCAATAAACCGAAGCGTCTGACTGAAGCCGTGCGCAGAATTTCTGCCGGGGCTCGTGCCAGAGGTCTGCACTGCCTTTCAGAGCAGCGCCCGGCAATCATCTCTGCCACTGCCGTGGGAGGGGGAACAGAGTGAATTAGTTTTAATGGACTACGGCTGACATCAGAACTGGTGAGGTTTTCTCCTCCTTCCTAAATCACGGCGTCTAATAATACAACATAATGAAAAAGGAGGATGTTTGCACGGTTCCTTCAGTCTCCAGTCTAGACACTCTCCAGTTTAGACCAATCCAGTTTACCAGTGAGCAGCTGATTCTAATTGGTAACGTTTAATCCTTCCCCTTCCCTCGCCCCATTTCAGACCTTGCATACACTTACAATCCCTGGCAGACTATAATCAACATGTTAAAAGTTTGGAGGTTTTTCTGTAAACATCTTAATTTAAGCAACCCCCTATGGTGTATTCCTTCCTTCTGCGAACTTCCAGAATTTAGGCCAGGGCACCTTCATCCAGAGTTTACACAATATAAACTCTTGTCAATTAACATTACGTAGCAGACAGGGTTATTCTGCAATACTACAATGACTATGACATTCTGCAAGCAGCTGGTGCCTGGAGGTTTTATTTTATATATATATACACACACACACACACACATATAAATTACATACATGTTAAAAGTTTAAAGCCTCCTAACGGCAAATTCCTGCATATCATTGCACTGACAGAAAAATGCCTTAATAACCAAGAAAATATTTACCAGAATTTTTTATCCTGGCTACATTTTAATTAAGGTAAAAATTCAACTGTAAAAATTACAGACTTTAGTGTCAGCTGCTGGTTAACATTATATAACAGAAAATTGTTACTGGTTCTACAATTGTTACTGCTTGTGCCTAACTGACATTTCTAAATACCTGATATTTATATAGCATGGAAATGGCCAAATCACCGTGCCAAGACGTGGTGGAAGGGTATGTCGTCCCGTAAACCACAGCAACAGAGCACTCACGTTCATCAAAACAAGGAAATGATGCCGGTGCCGTTATCTGAAATTCAGCGCAGCTGACAGCTTCCCAGGTTATTTTTGGGTGGCCAAGGTGTATTGACCACAATCCTATAAAGACAGGTCTTGTTCTCAGACACAATCTAAAGGTATCCACGTATCTTTTAGGAAAAAAATAGAACCAGGAAAAATAAGACGCTCAGGTTTGTGAGCGTATCGACACAGATGCAGTCTGAAAAATCCATCTCGATTAGTTAACGTGAACTAGGGAACAGCACTAGTTTTGTCTGGACACTGTCTGCAGTAAACTGGCCTTCAGTTCATCCAAAACTGAATATTCAAGCGAACATAAATCAAGCCAATGCTAATGCTAAGTAAAAACATCCACACAAAAGCTTAATGTGATTTTCATTTAATAAGTGAATTAAAGTAACTGTTCTTAGAGTCTCTTTGTAAGTACGAGCCTCTAGTTTCCACTGCACCACTGCACACGTTTAGAAAGTCCCCGGTCTATTAATATCACTTCCCTTCCTTGTATTATTTATTCTCATCTTGACAAGTTTTAATAAAAGGCTTCAGGTTTCCCTGAAAGTTAGAAGCCGCGTTCCTCTGGTTCAGAAACGCCCGAGCGGACATGGCGCTCCTCCCCGCCTGCAGCAGCTGCTCCGCACGGACCATCGCGCGGGCGTCCAAATACCACTGAGATAGCCTCACAACGCACCTCCCTGCCCTCGCCAGGGTCTCCGCACACCTAAGAGACGTGAATTGCTTCTCTGCCATGGATCCCCCTCGATTAGGTTGAAGAAACATTATTATTCTCCCAAGTAAGTAGGAATCTAAAGACGTCCAGCAACTGCCATTCCCAAAGCCAGTGAAGGGCCCGTCGGGCACAGCTCCCCGGGAATGCCCCGGGCTGCTCGGCCGTTCCCAAGCTCCAGGAATTATTATTCCAGGAGCCCGTTGCCGCTCATCACCTGCGCCGGGCCCTGCGGCTCCTTCCTCCACCCCGTGAGGATCCGCCGCCACATGTTGCGGTGCAAGCGTCGCTTCAAGGGAAGGGGTTGTGGTAAAAACAGAAATAAACACCACGTGTGCACGTTGCTTATGAAGCAAATACACTGCAAAATCAGATCCCTTTTCCCTGTTCATGCGCAGCATCTCTTCCCCGGTGCTTGGCAATGTGAAGTTATTACTGTAACGTTTATTTAATTTCTTCAGTGTCGGACTGATGTCTAAAAATCAAAACGCGAGGGCTTCAGGAGGAGGACTTTATCTTCGTGTAAGTCACAAAAGCAACCACTGGCACATAAAGCATTACATAAATCATGACTTCTGACATACAATAAAATTTATAGAAAAACTGTGCCAGTTTCCTATGGAAGAAAACGACACATGAAATAACTCATATTCTAGCAATTAAAAAAGAAAAAAACGAAAACCTGAACAGCACCAAGTCACCTGAACTTGAAACTTGGAATCGGATTTATGAAGCACACTTCCACAACCAGAACAGGAATGTTGTGGAGGAAGTGTGCCCACCGGCCAGAAGAAACACTGTCACCAGGGCTGACAACACCACTGGCAAAGAGAAAGGGTTTAAGGAGGCTCGCACCATCATTTCTGGTTTTACCACTAGAATAAGGACCCGGTTAGCGTTTCACGTCTGTTTTTCAAAGATTCAATCAGCAACAAATGGCCAAGGAGGACCAGTTCTTTTTCACTTTTATTGAACTACTACATATCTTGCCTATAAAAATGAAAAATGTGAAGCAGAGCGGCAATAACAATATAGGCAGGGACCTGGCTTTTAGAAATTCTACAGGACTAAGGGATTTTGTGGATGAGATGCCTGGCCACAAATTTTCAGCTGTAGTACAAACGGTTCCCTCCCCCAGAAAACGCCAGGAACCCATTCCCCACAGCGAACCATTCCAACCTATTTTTTTCAAAACCAAAATTTGATGTACACAGGAAAAAACACAGAGAAAACCGAAACCATGAGGAACTGCACTTTTCCTCCTTTATGTTTTTCTGGTGTTTTTTTTTCTTACTTGCTAATGTTAAACATGATTTGCTATATGGCTTAGACCGAGGCTTTTATAGTCTCCCTAAAACCAACTGACCCAGAAGTGAGCTTTCATTAACATAGGGGTCTGGAGGTACACAGAGACATCCCTTAAATTCATACCATCATAAAAATCATCTTAAAGAGACATTTAATTAATATCTATAAAGCATTCTAATCTAAGGAGGTGTATTTATTTCACTTAACTAGCATTGCTCATCTCCAGGCATTACCTTTCTATCAGAGTATGAAGCAAAATCACTGCTGTTCTGGAACTGGCATAGTTGATTCTCACTTAAATGCCGAAAGCTCCCCCAAAAAATTCTCTTAGGTATCAGATGAAAATTTGGCCAGATGAGAACACAGTTTTTCATGTCAAAGACTCACAATGTAAATGCTGTGAACCGCACACCACTGCTAAAGAGTTCTGACACAACAGATGGGATGTCAGAGTAAGACCAACTGGTCACTAAAATTGGAAACATAAGTGACAGACATGTAGTTTTATTCTTTGAAATGTGACTTCATCCTCAAAATCTTCATGGCATTTGCTACATTTTAGAAATTTAGGCAAGTGGGAGCTGTTGATTCACTGGCTGCTTCACTGACCACTACTGCCCCCCTCCTTTTTTCTCTCTCTGTTATAGAGTAGTAAACATGTTAATTGTCAAATTAATAAGATTTATTAACAGACAAGATCTGTAGTTTTCTCTGCTGCCCAAAGTTATCATTTATTCAGAAAGCGGAAAGAGAGGAGTAGGTACTTGTAAGGAGTTTCTTAGAAGTATTTTCAGACTGTATGTGATTTCACTCAGGAGAGAGGGTAGAATTCCAAACTCTTCATCAACAAAACATGCAATGGCAGGGTAAGTTGCTTAAAAAAAACCCCAGTGTCAGTAAGAGGATTCGATGTATTTCCCTATTTATGGCAGAATACAATTTAATACATCTGCTGATCCTCTGGATACCTGCGTACCAGAACATCTGGATACCTGGCTGGCAGGACAGCCAGCAGAAAAGAATTCCGTAGTACTTCTGCTAGATTGGGAATGGTGGACTGCATCATCTCACATAAGGAGCAGTTACACTGTGGTGTAAGTCTGACATTTCCCAAAAAGAAAAATTAACCAGTGTATGGCACGTTCAACACACAACGGAGCAGGTCAGAAGTCCTGGTAGCAGCAAGTAGGTATTTGCATGTATCACAACAGTATTTGCAATTCCTCCAGAGCACTGGGACACAGACCGATAGAATTTTATTGTCTTCAACTTGCTTACAATTATCACGTGAAAACAGTAAAAGAACTTACCACTCGGGTTAAAAGCCATGCAGCAAATGGGCTTCTCGTGTGCCGGGAAGTGGGCCACGATACCGTCACTATCCGAGTCCTCGCTGACAAGTACCTGCATGACATCAACAGAGACAAAGGAAGGTCAGGAATCAAAAACGCACCTAGGAGAAAATACCAACTTGTCGATACAGGAACTGTTTTCTAAGATATACACACTGGTACGAATTACAAATGTAACTGCACGTGAACTGAACACAATCAATCTTGTGTCAGAGAAAGTGTGTTTGCTTTCCGCAGTCTGCATCCTGCACAAAGTGCAGATGGACCTGAGGTACCTGGATTTTCCCAACGACACCAGAAATGCAAAGGACTGGGGAGGGTGTATGAAACAGCTGCACTGCGAAATACGCACTGCCGAGCATCTTCTTCATCTTCAAATTGCCTCAAGGAACATGACATTATATGGGCGAGGCTGGAAAGGACCTTAGAGATCATTTTAATCCAGCCTCACTGTATTACAAAGGGTTTTAATGCAAACATCTAAAAAAAAAAAAAAAAAAAAAAATCACACTGTTGCAAAATACCCGCTGCTGGTGAGCAAAAGAGCAATGAAAAGGTAGGAAAGAGTTTTCACAACAGAGAGAAACGAAGTGGGAAGGATCTGGACCGAGATGTGTGTTGCACAACATCTTCCACAGCAAGGCACAAAGGATGAGCTGTTGTGGTTTTTTAAAGAAAAGGCAATTTGAAGCTGACAAAGCTCCTCAGGCCAGTCCACGCTAAAGCCGACTGTGAGGACAAAGCAAAGGGCTTCCCAAAGGACACGTCTAATTGCGCGAAACAGAAGAGATTCTCTTAGATGGACAGAAGAGAAGCAGAAGATGTGTGGACAAAACATTTGCAAGAGCTGTAGTATTTTATTCCTTGGTTACACCATGGTAAAGACTAAATTAAGCAAAACAAAGAGAAAGATCTATCAGAGAACGACTCAAGAAAAGGGTTTCTGCGGGAAGCCAAAACCACCTTCTGAACCGAGACAGTGCAAAATTTCCCCTCTCGAGTTCAGAATAATTTGTCTGCTGCTTCCAAAATAATCTGAAAGGGTTTTAATACTTCCTATTCCTACCAGATATCAGAATAATGTGAAGATATTTTTATGCTTCAAAAAGAGAAATCATCTTTAAATGCTTAAAGAAGTCACGTAACATGGACGAAGAGCCCTGCGCCTGACTGACTTGCAACGTTCCGATGACTTGGCACTGTCACACAAGCACAATTATGGTTTTGCTTTCCGTTGTCAGCATTTCGTGCTGATTCCAGAACCACTAACCAAAAGGTCTGGAGATCTTCCTAAGAGCTTTTCAAAGAAACAGTGTTCTTTTCTCAGCCTATATAAAGTGCACTAAATAGCTCCTACACATCATCTTCTCACAGCTCCCACTTTTAGGTGACTTGGCCTTAGCCAAAACATTTTGCTCTAATGAGAATGATACATGCTAATGGTAAAGTAGCATCATAAACCAGCTTTACAAAAGAAACAGAAGGGTTTTTTTGGAATCTAGTCTGTTCAACAGAAATATTTAATCTAGAAATTTGTATGTATCAACAGTGTCTAAATCATTGCTGAAAACACTTGTAGAGCAGCTTCTACCGCCTGTAAACTGGATTAACTTTGCATGTCTTTTCTTTCGTTTTTTGCTTTTTAAACTAGTGATAAATGCACCCTGCAGCATAAAACCTCTATTCGATAGAGAAAAGACACTCTGGATGGGAAGACAACCTTTAAATATGTTTCCTCTGGAAATATGATACCAAGCAAAAAATTTTACAACGCTAAGAATTGTGGAACACCTCAGACATACCAATCTGACAATACACTAAAGCCCAAATCTATGATCTGTATGCTATGCTAACCAGTTCCATGTTTTAAAACGTTTTTTCAATCACTGCTTAAAATTATCTTCCTAAGAAAACATCCTTTGTGTTTAATCTAAAATTTATTTTTTTTTTAATTAAATCTTCACTTTTCACTGTAAAAGCTGATCTTGAGGTATAGCAGATCACTCCTTATTTTGGCTTATTTATGCAATTCCATTCTTTATGATAGAAGTACAAGGAAAAATAATTTATTGGCATAATGTCCAATCAAGAAAGAAAAGCCACCGTGAGCTTTTCTGACAACCCTCATCTGCCACCAAGCCAGGCTCACGCAGAGCTTTCAGAGCCAGACTAAGATATTTTAGCCTACTACATTAGCCAACTAAAGAAAAAAAAAAAAAAAAAAAAGGTTTTCTTAAAGAAAACCACACCGCAAAAGCACCTTCATTACTCAAAGTTTGGAAATCCTTGGCGAGTGGAGAATGTGGAACTCAGGTGGCGATGGTGCTGCACCACCTCCTTTCCTGACATCCGATCTTCGTCCCTCCCCAGCCCACTGCGGCCACCGAATGGAAATATTCAGTTCTGAGACAACGCTTGCTTGCGCAAGGTAAGGTGAAGTTGGAAAAAAAACGTCCTTCATCTTTTCAAAATCAAGATGAAAAAATAAGTCAATGCGGAATGGAGAAAAGTCTATTAGTTGGGTTTTTTTTAAATTCACCAACTTGTATTTACATTTGTATTTAATCTTCGTATTTAAATGTGTTTTTAGAACTTTGGGCTGCGCTGCAAGGCCTGTCGTGTCCTTTCCCTGCAGCGGGGGGAAGCGTACATCACTTTTTACAATAACAACGCTGCACAGAAAAATCAGAAAAAAATAAAAAAGTTTACAAAATCAACGGAATTACAGCAGTTTACTTAACTACATCATCAACCAAAGAAGAGCCTCTTTGGAAATACCCCTTTCAAACCTGCCACAGGACAAAAGCCTGGTTCAAATGCCAGTATAGAGCTTGCATAGCTTTCAAATCTTCGCACAATTTTCACCATTGTATGTGATTTAAGGAAGACAAAATGATGCTGATACAACACCAGACGCTTTATACCAGAATATTTTCTGTATTAGGGATCTTTAAACAGACATAACTGCCTCAGTACAATCAAGTTTACATAAAGTCGGATAGACCAGAATTTGTGCAGACAAGGGTGAAGACCAGAGCTGGACAGGCACCAAGAGGTGGATTCAAAGCCTCTGCCACAGAGAAGTGTCACAATTTCAGAGACGGCTTCTCGCCCAGCCTGCAGCAGCAGACCCTCTCGGCAACCAAAGGGCTGGAGAGAACGATGCCCGTAGGCTACCAGGTGGCACCCGAAATCAACCCCCACGTTGTGCAACTCGTTCCTTTTGACCAGTTTATGGTTTCTTGCCACTGAAAAGAGAGGAATCGGGAATTTTTCTCGGAAGCCCCAACAGTGGTACAAACTGCCTCGTAACACAGCCAAGGGCTGTCCAGAAGCTCGAGGGAAGCAGCTCGTGCAGCTTCCCGAGGCGCGGAGCGTACAACGCCCCCAGGAATCCCGGGGCTGCATTTTTCTTTTCATCCCAAATAGGCCTCGTACTCCAAGGCAGTGGCCTCTAACCACTCTACTATTAAGAGTAAAAGACCCCACAATGACTCTCACTGAAAAAGGTTCATAAATCTTCACGTTGCTCTCAGGATGGCACAGTCACTGAGCTTCACAAGGATGCTCAAGTCTCTTCCTTGCAGAGCTCCCTACAAACAGAAACACCCTTTCAGGAAATACAACCGACAAGAAAGAAACCCTGAGTCTCTTCTACTGTGATGACCCAGTAAATGAGCCCTCAGCCTACTTCTGACGCCCGAGCAGCACCTCAGCAAGAGAGCTGCAAGGTTATTTCCAAAGAAGCCGAGAGAGTCCGCGGCCGGGCACGCTGAGCCGACGCTGCGGCTGCCCAGGCAGCCCCGCGCAAGTCGAACCGCAGAGCGCAGCCCATCGAAGCGGAGCTGAGTTCGCTTTATCTTGCTCTAAAAGACAAACAGACAAAACACTGAGGGGATCATTGCATTTACTGTCAGAAAACAGTGTTTGCTTTGAGGGCAAGAGATAGCTGAAGCCAAAGCTTTTTCCTCCTCTGCTATATTTTTCTTCATTTGTTGTATTTTCCATAGCGCTGAACAGAAGCCACTAGTAATTATGACTTCAATTATTTTAATCTTTCAAGGCAAATTACACCACTTATCCCAGCGGAGACATGTTTTTAAATAAAACATGAAAGTAACACAAATAAAAATGGACACAAATCTAATCAAGCAGGTCCTACTCTTAATAAAATTAAGAAAGAATAATCCCATCATCATAAAATCAAATAGGTTTGGCAATAGTTATAAATATGAACATTACAGAATAAAGAGATTTTCACATGTACACTTATTAAGATGTCTGTTGATTTAAAGAGCTGAAGTTCGGGCAATGCACCCCTCAGGTCCTAGGGCGTATGTGCAAAAATCACCCCTCCACACACTGACCCCCCCCAATTAGCCTCCCCCAACTTATAGCTAAGGTCAAACATCAGTGGAAAAGGGCTAAAAGTGATAAATCTGTGGCATTAACTACTGCACTCCTTTTAATAGAATCCAGCACAAACTCAAAACAGCCTCGCGCTCAGCCTGAACCATTTATCTGAGACAAAAATGTCTTCTTGACAAAAAACAGATCTCCTTTAATAAAAGTAAGGCAGACAGTATTATGCTCTGAGGGAATCCTGTTTCTCTTTTTGTATTTCTATATAAAAAGAACTCTTCTGTAGTACACGGAGATATAAAACGTGAAGAAAACCGATGCCAAATACACCAGCATCTGAACATCAAATTAGCCGTTGTGAAAGCTGTTGTTGTAAGTAAAAGCACCGGCGTTAATGACCAGTGGAATTACATACGTAGTTAAAGTTTTATTATTGAATATGCTTTGTTCTTTTAGCTTCTTTTTGCTTTAGGCCAAAGTTTCACAACAATTCTTGCTCCCGATAAGCATCTTCATTCGCTTCAATTGTTATCAACTCTTTACCAAATGAAAATGAGCTTTTGAAACTGCAGCAGTCTGCAGGTTTTTTTCTGAAAATTCCTCTTTAATGCAATAAAAAGTTAATGGGGAACAGAAAAAAGCGCCAATCACATTTTGAAACATAAAAAGATCAACATGTTATCTTATTTTTGTAAGTTATTTTTAAAATATTCCCTCAAATATTTTTCATGTGTTTCAGACGAACTGTGAAAGCAACGGAGTGATATCTCATCAATCACATCGCTCTATCAAAAGCACTAAGAATCAAGTTTTGTATTTTTAAACGGCCACATATTTCTCTGTCAACTACATGTTAGATGTTTAACAGATTTACATTCAGTCACAAAACTGGCGACTTTGGAGAAAGGTCATTATTGCAGACTACATGTGGGTGGCCTGGCTGATGAATTAATTAAGAATACAGAAACAAAGGTCAAAAGAAAATAATTTTTCTTTAAAACTCAAGCCACTAAAGTCTTACACATTTAATTCCAATTACTGAAAAAGAGGACATCTGTATAGCTTTAGTTTTATCCATTTCAACTAATTAAGAGATTCAAATAAATAGTCGTTACATCTAACTGAAAAGTTTGCTAACACTTCATTAGAAGGAACTTTAAACAAGCACAAAACCTTGTTAACATTTTGGTTTACCACAAAGTTACTTGGGCATCTCGATAATTATTTTTACTCCCTTCACAAATATATCATGACAGCCAACTTCAATAATTCTGCATTCCTTTGCCTTCATTTAATTACTTCATAATTCACATTTTCTTAAAAGTACCACCAATTTTGAAAGTAGGAGCTATCATATAACCAACTGCTGGGTGTGAGATTTTACTACAATATCTACATTCATAAGGCTTATTAACAATATTTTCCTTACAGATTGAATCCTGCAAGATCTTTGGCCTTAAATTGTGTATTTTTCAGCTGTAAGCTAGAATTTCACCCTCTGCCCTGTTAGCACAGTATATTCCGTGAAATGCATTGAGTTCCATCTCAGGTTCTATATATTGCTATCTTTGAAATGGGAGACTTAATTACCAAAATCAGTGAAAAACCCATAGTTAGTCCTTCCGGCTTATGTCAAAAACATGTTCTTCAGCCAACCTACCAGCAAAGAAATCTGTGTGTTTGTACACAAGCACAGAGCAGCTCACTCCGTCCTTAAAACCTGTGTTGCTATGCTCAAAGTAAATGAATAAGCACATGCAATATTACTTTAGAAGCTTTTATATATATATATATTTTCAAAATAAAAACCTGTCTCCCCACTGAAGTTTTCTGCTTATTTCTCCTTCAAAAGAACATGCTTGCCTGCCTTAAATTTACTGTGATGTTTTCCATTTTTTCAAAACAGATTTTTTTTTTAATAGTTACCTTAAAGATACATTTCATTACTTGGGAAGTGTTTTATTTCATTACAACAGGCAAATTCTTAGTTAGGCTGTGCAGGTAGATATAAATCTTTATTGGCCTGAAGGAGGGGAGGTATTCCTTTTACATTACGAGTCCACTGATATGAAAATAACTCCTTTCTGCTTCCAAAATTCCCCTCATTCACGATTAGAGTGACAACCTCTGTAAACTGTGTTGCTAGACAAATCTCTGAGGAAAGGGATGCAAGGCTTTCAAACTGTTAATTCAGTCCAGAGAACGTTTGGGAGGCATTACTACCAAGCCTTGCGGTTGCCCAGGCAGTTTGTGGCGCAGCCGTCCCGCAGCATCCCCATCCAGCAGGAAGGAAATATTCCAAAACAGGAGGAAAGGGGAATTGCGCTAAGTGCTTCTTTACACTTATTTCCCACCTGGAATTGAAAACCTGGGTTGGTAAGCCAAGAACTTGAGAAAAAGCACTGCCACACAGCGCCAAGAAAACTGAGACTTAAACCCTGCGAGGTGCTCGCTGTGCCGCCGTGCAGCAGTTACCTCCTCCAGCAGGCACGAGGCTGTGCTCTGCGCCAGGCAGTCGGCTCGATCGCTCTTCCATTCCAACCCAAGCGTCGGTAATAATGCAGTCTGGATGACTGCTATCAGCAAACCAATTCGCCACGGAAGAGCAAAATCATTTCAGAAGTTAATACGATGAGGAAGAATCAATGCAGCTCAGCCATCCAGCCTGCAGACGGGCACGACGCTTCACCACGGGTTTATACTGAAGGATACGAGCGATCACACTTAGCTTAGCGAGATTACTCACAGCAGCTAAAGGTCAGCCTTGCTACAATGCTTTCCTGAACTAAAGTGTCACTAAATCATGCCACAAAACCTAGCCAGGACTCCCCACCTTGCACAAACCTAACCCAGCACGTCACTGCTCGCAGCCTTGCGGGCTCCTGACAGGCTCCTTGGGACGAGGCAGGTCACGACAACGACACCAAATCAGAACCCGTCACCTCCAGCTGGGGCTGCGTGTGCCAAAACTTCCATTTCCCCCTGGCAATGGGAACACACCTGGAGCGATGGAGCCGGTGAGCACACAGGACACTGCTCACTTGAGAAGGTTCTTCACTTGGGCAGTGCTGAATGACAGGCTTTATTTAGACTATGTACCCAGTGTATTTATTTTTAACCAACTTTCTTTTGGCTACATGCACATTTAAGTAAGAAAGGATCGTTAAAAAGTCTTCTGTACCACGAAAACCTAATAATGCAAAGGAACGATTATTTTATTTCTACTGGAAAAACATATAATGTTAATTCTGAAAGCGAGGCTCAACACCAAAAATAAATTGTTAACTTAATAGCATTTTAGAACTTCAGATCACAAAAAAATGAATGCAAGACATACAATTAGGATATCTAACTTAGAGCCTCCATCCCTAGAGATTCAAGACAAAAAAATATTTCACTAGAACTGATGGCTTATTTATGTTACAGCAGCAGTATTTGGACAAGGCAAGCGTTATCATTTTTACAACTACTATTCCACAGTGCCCTTTGGGCTTGATAGCTCCCTACTATTGTTAAGGTCATAGGACAAGTTCATAAAACCTCTAAATCATATCTAACAAGAATTAAAAACTGAAGATATATCTGCATTTTTTTTTTCCTTTAGGCCTCTGCAGAAGAATCAAAGCACAGACAGTGACTATCAGAAATAATGACTGCATATAAAAGACTTCATGACAAATTTATGAAGCAAAATTTTTCTTCCCTCTTTACCCTCCCTTGCAGTATATAACGAGCCAAAAGTCTTTTTTTTTCCCCAGGAAACAAAACCAAAGCTCAGTGGCCAACAGACTTATTTTAAGACCTGACTCTAAGATCTCCAGTAAAATATATTCTTTATCCATTCTCTTCTTGTTTTGTTTTTGCTTTTTAATTTTTCAAGAAAAGGCCTGTAATGTTATAGGAACAATCCCCTTTCAATGTAACGTCACTTGGCTAAGTATTTCCAAATTAAATCTCAGGAACAACCACAGCTCAAACAGTATACTCAGTTTATTGTTTGTTTGGGTTTTTTTCAAGCAAAACATTTTTATTTTCCTCTCAGGTAAGAGAAGAAAATAAAGTGACCACTGATTTGTCTTTAATACCTTACTAACTTACCTGCAAGAAGCATCATAAATATAGGGGGGAAACAAGAAAAAAGGAATTCTTTCGTTTGTTTTTAAAATCAATAAATGTGAACATTAGGAAAACATTTTTACAAAGTAGTTACAGAATAATAAAATGTATGGGAGTCCTGCGTAAACCGATTCCACGATGTAAAAATTAAATGATTGAGAGAAAAAAAACACAAAAGCCATGGCTATCGTTCTCTGTCAGAAAGACAGTACAAAACACCCATTTAAAGTTTGCAGGGCAGTGGTATGGAAAGTTTATCAAATGACTTTGCCTGGTGCCCTGTGCTGTATTTTATTAGCGAAACTGTGCATATGGCTCACAAACCAGCATCACGCTTGACTACATTTGGAGTTTTGAAACTGATGTAAAATGGTAAGTTATTATACTTAATATCCAACTTCACTCACCATCTTTTTTAAGCTGGAATTCAACAACTCACCGTATTTCCAGACAATCACATTTTCCAGCCACGTTATATATTAATAAATATAATCAGACTACATATACATTTCAACTGATCAGCATAAATCAATGTCAATTATGACCAAGTGTTAGGGAGACAAAATGTGACACTTCACACTTGATGTTGTCAAAGCGTCACATAAATATGCTCCAAGGACAATATATATTTTGGCTGAATTTCAGTCCCAAAAAGGACCTTATCACAGCTGCGTGCGCCCGTGAAAGTTTTTTGACCTAGCAAAGAGCTCATCTATATTTTTCATTTTCAAATGCATAAAATACGCTCAGATTTCCATGAAAATGACCGCATGTTCTGTTTCTGCGCAAGCTGCATTACCTGCCCTTCTGCAACTGTCTCGGTGTCAATGATAGTGATGATTCCAGGCACCAGAGGACTTCGACGAATGTTGCTATGAGCTAAAATTTCTTCTTCGGTTGCTCCCGAGGGCAGCGTCCCCGTCAGCTGCGTAACAACTTTCCCAACCATCGTAAGTCCAGTCTTTATTGTCTATAAAAAGAAAAGAGAACCAATAAATAACGTTTAGGGCTCTTTTGTAGATCTATCTTGAACTTGTCTTCAGCACAGTTAATGTAACTAGACTGCGGGCACCAGAAGAACAGAAAACAAAAGGTTTTGTAAGCGATACGTGAGGTGCAAAGGGCTGTGTGCGACAGAAGTATCTCAAAAAAAAATATAGCGTCCTATCAGTTTGAAGCATTCACCTTTATTTTGGAATGAAATGCTTCCAAAGCATTCTTGAAAAAAGAAATATTTGAACGCTGTTTAAATGTAAGTTTTTTCTTTCTCTAACTTTGTTCATTTACTTATTCCAAGAGACACAGAGCACGGATAATTAAAACAACCAAATGCCGAAGCTAAGACGGGTGCGTGTGGAGAGCAGCGGTACACAGGGAAATCCTTAGAGCCCCTAAAGGTCAATGCTGAAAGAGTTGTGTCTGCGCACAAGCGTGAGAGACGAAGAATTTGGCCTTCGCTAGGTGTAACAGACACATTCACTTGTTTCTCAGCAATTCTGCCTTCCGCAGCATTGGGGGAATAAGGGACTCAAACCCAGTAAAATTAAAAATGCCACCCTCGAGGTCCTAGATGGGACAACTCTGTACAAAGCAGGGGCCTCTCCCATCACAAATAATGCACCTTCCACAGCCCGCGTGTTTTCCAGACGTGGGTTTGAAAACATACGTTGCACCAGTTTTCATCCGCTAAAAATGCTTAAGATTGCTTTATGTTGGTTTATTTGGAGAAAGAAGGAGACTGCACACAGTAGGAGAGACAGAGGGACTGAAAGAAAAGCAACCCACACTACAACTTTAAATATTTTCTCCTTGAATCAAGGACTGTGTCTTGCTTGCCTGCAGAGAAGTGCACAGATTTATTATGCAATATAAATAAGAAATAGCAGAAGAGATCAGAACGGAACGACACTATAACAAGCCAATTCTTAACTAAAAAGACAAGCTAAGCTGCCTGCTAAATTGAAAAGGAAAAAAACCGTACAGATCGCAGGCTGAAACCAAGAAGCAGCCACAAATCAATTGCAACTGCTTTGTTTAGTGCTAAAATCTCAAACTGCAGTGATTAGAAAACACATTAGTGTTCATCAATTAGCAGCCAAACGTTTGTTTTAATAATTCATAGGAAATGACTTACACAAAGTCTGTTAGTGTGTTGTCAGGAAAACCTCTGCAGGGCCAACAGAATTAGGCGCCACACGGTATTGATGGCAATATCCAGCCAGGAAGCCTGATTAACCTCTGAGATGCCTCAGCTGATGGACTTACCCCATTAATGCTAATGGAGATACTACCACTTAAAATCGAGCCACGGCTTTATCATAGGAATGTCTTTGGGGTTTAAAGTCTTTAGTAATATCCTGCCATTTGTTCCCGATTATTTCTTTTTATGCTCTCGCGCAGCAAGCGAGGAATAAAGCATATCTGAACAGTGGCAAAATCAGAGGGCTGAAAAACCTAGCATAAAGCAGATACCGACGGCCGAGGAACAGACCTAAAATAGAGCCAGCGCGCTCGCAAGAGCGCATTTCAACAGATACTTTCCCTGTAAAAACTGACAAGGTACTTTTCTGGCCAAGAGTTAAAATTGTGCAAAATGCACTCGCAGTTTATACAGCAGGAAAGAGAAATCGTTATATGGTGAAATACCTATCTCCAGTTAAAAGAACAAGAACTGACTTATTTTCAAAAATATCTTTAATACTATACCTAGAGAAATTGGATGACAAAGTGCCAAATATGAATTTATAGCTCTCTAGGAAAAATTAAAAAAAAGAAACAAGCCCACCCTTGCTTATCTAGCAAAACGATTACCGTCATGTTAGAGCAGACGGTGACTGCAGGGCGACTGAGAAGTAAGAGGTGTACAAAGACGTGGCCGAGGCCATTAGCTCCGAACTATCAGTGCAAAACCATTACGGCACTTACTTCCCTGTGCTCTGTGTATATTTGCAAAAACTCCTCTGGTAATCTTTAACCTTTCCCATGCCATATCAGCTGTCCCCTCCATCCATTAGAGCTAATGACCTTGCTCTCACATAAGCTGTTAGTACTCATTAAGAAGTTATCAGGTAACAAGAGAAAACAGATGCAGCCTTTGCTAAATCACTTTACCACTATAGGATTAAAAGATATGGAGAAAAAAAATCAACTAAAGAAGTTATGAGGTGAGAAGAACTTGGTTTATAATTCAAGGCGAGACATTGGACAGACCAAATACATATTAAATGAAATAGGGTAAAGTTTGCACCGTCCCAGCTCCTTTGTCGTTGATGGGAACCTGCCAGCACATACTCAGTGAAATTTTCTTACAAATAAAATTAAAATACTTGATCCAGTTCCTTTTGTAAGCGAAGAGGCACATTGTGCAAACACACAAATGATTTGTACGCTCACGTGTACCCTATCTACTTAAAAAAAAGAATGTTCATATTCAGCTATAAAGACATACATTTAATTAAAATGAATGCAGGCACTTATACCTCATTTAATTGAAAAAATAAGTACAACATCAATTAGATGAGAAAATTAAAATGCATCATTCGGTGCCCGTTAGGCTGTTTTGTTCCAACAAAGGTCTTGCATCCTTTTAGTGACAAAACAACGTATTGTTCCTGTTTCTCATAACAAACACATTTTACATGATTTATTTGTTTACAAATGAGAGATCTATAGAAAGGAGAAAGATACCAGAAAGATGAGTCTTAGTAATCAACAGCATGAAAGCCTCGTGGTTAGTTTGAACAAAACGAGCAATTATATCCAATCAGTTGCAGATTCAAGTTCAAAGCACGTGTTGGTTGAACGCTCGTGCTTTGCAAAGATGTTTCCCTTTCCGGCTCTTGTTGCATCCTCTGGAAAGAGGGAGGACAGGGAAGAAACCTATTTGGAAATTCAGCCTGAAGAGCAGGTCGAGTCCAAGCGTTAGGGATACACAAGGCTCGGGAAGGTGTCCGCAGCGTGAGCTGAACCGTGTCTCACTCGAGGACACAGGCAAAACCGCAAGTGTGGAGATACAAGAATGTCTCCTCCTAAATCCCCCTCCTTGCTGCACCCAAAATGGATAAACACGAATAATCATAACAAGTGATTTCACATTTGCGTGCCTATCTCAAACCAAGCACCTGAATCTTCTCCCATCACTAACCCTGTGAAGTAATAACGGGGTTTATGCTGAAAGATATTCTACTACACTTGTTCAAGGGGAGTGAAAAGCATCTTTATCCTGTGAGGAAGACCATTTTCATTTTTAAAAACACATCAATTTCTATCTCTGCTGAACATTAACCTAAACTGAAATCTTGACACATCTTCTATTTCCAGAAATTTCCTGCTTGGCTAAATTACAGAAATTATCAAAGCTTTTTAGAACATGACCAGACAGTCACCAAACAAATGTGGGAAAATTAAAATAAAGAGATTGGAGCTAGGATAAAAGCATCTGCTTTTCCAACGACAGCAGAAAGCAACGTTCTTGCAAGACGCATCTAAGGAGAATCAGAAAAAGGTTCAACATTCAAAATAAAATCCTTCTGAGAAATTGTAAAATCAGATGGGAAGATGACATAAAGGAATTCTTCATAACGTTACCAGAATAACAAGAATTTTGGCACCAGTGTTTTTACCAAACTCCAGCATGACCACGGTTTTGACCTCAGTATTCTCAATTAACAGAAGGGGAGCTTCAGACTCCTAAGTTATTTGATTAAGGGGGAAATTTATTTGCTGCATCGAGGATAGTAGAGAGCCGTCCGTCACACTAAGGACAAACCCACCGTTCACCACCAGGCCATTCAAAAACACTTCTCAGAGTGAACACTCCTGAAGTAAATATTCTGTACTGCCACTGAGACCTTCTAGGGAGGACCTGAAAGGCAATTCTCAAAAGCGACCCTGTTGCAAACACTCTTCGCTCCCCGCTATAGCTTTCTCCTTTACATAAAGGTTCTTTAACTTCCTTCAATAAGAAATTGGAACCCAAACAGAGAAAAGGCTGTAACTCAAGACAATCTGACAAAACCGGAACTTTTATGGAACCCTTCTGAACCCAAAAGCAGTAGTGCAGGGAACAGCAAAGGACATCCCCTTTCAAAAAAGCTAATACCTCTGCTGATCAGAGCAAATGGATTAAAAACCATTGCAGGCTGATAGACAGAACAGCAGTAGAGGTTTATAAATTAAGACTTAATTAAGCAAGGAGTAAAGTTTAAGGTAAAGTAACGAGATGGACAAAGAGCAACAGATATTTGGAGCATATATTTGCCAACACAAAAAGTCAGCAAAAAAGACAGTAAGCCAAGATTCAGTGGAATCGGTAATAAATTAAACATTTCAGATTGTGTTGTGCACTCAGACGTGAATAACAACTTGATACAGTAAGGCTGAGATACACTCAAGAGCCAAATTGTGCAAATACTTACAACTATATTAGCATCAATCTTGCCTATTACAGCAACATCTAACAGGCAGCAGTGGGCAAAAGCAATGTGCAACGCAAAATACAAAGTAGTACAGAGATTGTGCCCTTGTGATTACCCAGCTTCCTAACTTGCACTCTTACTTCACCCCTGTGCAGAGGCTAGCAATCCATTCTGTCCTATGACTATAAATGCATTTTATCTCCAGTATCTATTCACATGTATTCACCTTACTGCGGGAATTTCTGCATTACAATCCTTGGCTCGTGTTACTCAGCAGGTAAGGTCATCACCTTAGTCCTTACTGCCTGTAAGATCTAGTTATCCATGGTCTTGAGGAGGTAAAGGCTATAAAAGATGTCTTCCTTTTTTAGAATTTATTTTTTTTGTCTCTCAAAAGAAAGTTAAACAGAATAGTGCTCAGTCTTCAATGCCTCCTGGAATGCTTTGACAATCATTATACAGTTTATGCTCTTCTTCAGTCTTGAGTGGGCTGGGCATTGGCAGCACAGTGATCTGTTTGTAAGATTTTGCCACATTTGATCAAAACTGTGGCAGATCACGCTAAACCAGTTGGTTTTTCAAACTTATCTGTGCTATAAAAAAACCCATATGTTGATGACACTGAGATTGAAGGAATACAAGATTTTCCCTCCCCTTTTTTCTTCTTTTTTTCTGATGCTTAACGTATGCAGAGATCCATACGTCAATTCAAGTTCTCCTCAACAAAGTGAAAAAGTGGGCTTTTTCTCCTCCCTCAGCCGAGGCTGTGTCTGAAGCTACACCGATGGGATAGGTTTGTTTTTATGGTTTTTCACATGAGATGGCATGCCCTGTGTCTCTCGTTGTGGGTTCTTGTAACTGTTGTTTTCTTCAGTGACACCGAGCTTTCTGTTCTGCGCTGTCATTTAATTCCTATTATTAGGTTTGTTTTGTTGTGCATATCAGAAATGAAAAGGCTAGCGGTTACAATGAAAGCCTGTAATCAGCACAAAGCTTGCCAGACAACGCCAAAACTCACTTTGTGTCTCTGTGTGTGCGAGAAAAAGGAATTACTTGGCAAAAATGTTGCAGGCAAGTCCTCAAGGAAAGGAGTGGGGCGTGGAGGGGAGGGAGAAATAGTACAACAGTTCTCCATACTCCTTGGCTCATTTAAGATATTTCTAAGCCATGGTCATCTTTTGCTAGTACAGAACCTCAGCCATTTCTCTGGAAACAAGAGGGATATTATAATGTCATCTGAACTACGAAAAGTAGGCAATGGAACCTATACGTAAACAGTCATTAATAAACGTTAACCTTCAAAGAAAGCTGCCAGGTAATTAATTAGCTCCAGTACTGAGCTGTCATCCTTCAGAGAGATTAAAACACATAATGCTGGTGTGACTGAGTCCAAAAAGCATCAAGCACTTGTAAAGTCGGTTTTCCTGATGCTAAAAGACTAATAACTCACAACGCTGACACCTAATCACGTGAACTTGTAACATTGTGAACAGCCATTGCACGAATCCATCTCGGTGTGACTTTTCAATAGCAGCGGTCCCTAATATGACCAGCTGCTTGGAATAAACAAAACTTCACAAGAGCACCTCAGGAGGACAGGAATATTTTGTGAAAAACAGTGGCTACGCCAAGATCATCAGGATTGGGCCCATACGCTGGGTGCTAAGGCCAGCACGGTCCTCGGGGTTTTTTCCTCTTTCGTGAAGGGTGGGAGGCGATGCCACACGGCACAATTCAGCAGGGAAACCTAATAATTATCCGCGACGCTAACCTCCCCCGGCAGCAGACGATGTACTCACTTTGGCAGCACTAATGACTGTGGCAGTGTAAGACTGAATGTTGTCTCCGCAGGCTCCACCACGGGATTGATGGCATCGGATCAGCTACAACAAGACAGACAGCAAGCAAGTAACTACTATTAAACTACACAAACCCATAAGCCATTACCATAGCTCTTATTTGTCATGTACAGTGGTGTGTTTTTTCCTACAAATAGCAAAAAGCCCTGCTGAGACACTTAACCCCTTTTTATAATCTTCTGGGTGCCACCCAGACTGTCGCGTACTCAGCTCCAGTTTTCAATTACAAGATGAGTAGTCACTAAGAATTCATAAACTTTGAGATGGTGGGATTTTTGGTCTGGCAGCAATACCACAAATAAATTTAAATAAATATAATCAAAAGCTTTAGCCATGTATATGTAACATTAAAGATCAGACATTCTAAGAATCTGAGTGTGGCTTTCCCCTCCTTTTTATGACTAGCAAGCAAAGAAATGACAAAAGAGCTACTTGAAACTTTATGTTCAATAAAGGAGCATACATTAGGTTTACTCTATATCGCCTTCCTGCAAAATTAACACATTGAAGCAAGACTCTTCTACCCACCAACAACCTACAAAAGCAGTTTTTGCCTTTGAATCCTGACCAACAACAGAATCTGGGCTTCTGGCTAAATAAAACGGCAACAAACCTACAGATTTTGGTTACTTGTACACAGAACACGTTGCCTGTTAAATTGTTTTAGCTAAAAGAAAACTGAAAATCACTGTAAGCTGTATTTGTTTTGACAGGCTTTCCTTTCCTGCTTAAATTTAAGTATCTAAATAAAAATAGCTGAACTGGGGAGAAAGGGGAAGTCCACAGTGAATGTATCTGGGAACACACAAGCCATTTAAAGTCTTTTGGTGATAGAATTCTTTCTCTGATCAGGGGCTCATATTTTTGGCAGCAGTACTTTCTTAAATCCCAGGCTGCCTGGTTAAGTTTTACAAAACCACATAGGCATGGCTTTAAAGGAAAGGCAAGCCTGAATTTGGAGAGAAATCAGTTGTGCTTGAGAAGGTGTAACAAATACAGTCCTAAAGTCTGCCCCTCTGGTAACTTCTGGTTCAGCTCCAGAAACAGCTATTCCAGTCACAGGTGGAAGGGAGAAAAAACATCTGCTTTGAAATGAAAATAAGGCATTAGAAACTGAGTTTGAGGTTTTAAAACAGTTAAAGCACAGTCACTTCTCTGGCCTAGGCTTGGGTAAAAAAGTGATAATTTCTTTTTCGCGTAACGTTTTTCTGAGATGACTTATTTTTTATGCCCTATACAGACAAACGCTAGAACGGAATCTAGAATCAAAAGGAAGTATTTTTTGAATTCCTTACCTTATTTTCTGCATAAGCAAGCCAACGGCTTCCAAGAGCAATAGGATTCATGTTTGGCCCCGGACAAGGATAGCAGCCTGAAAAGTTTTAAAAGACAACATGATGAAATATCTTAATGAGTTCTTACAAAGAATTTTATTTATTGCCAAGAAAACAAAAAGTCTAAACAAAAACCTTTCAATTGCTAGTATCACTCAGTAAACGCTTGCATTTTTGTTCCTAAAGATAAGGCTGTGGTTAGATGAGCTATTTTGAACAGTTAATTATGTGTAAATACTCGTTTCTCCTGATGTTTGCGCTTTTTTAATGCCATTTTGATGCAGTGGGGTGAGGGGAATATTTAAGTTTGACTGGACTGTTTCTGCATCTTCGCATTTTAATTAATTTTACTTGATTGACATCTCTCTATTGGTCAACAGTTTCAGTTCACTTTCAGCTCGTCTAGATTTTTGTGGTATGAAAGGGTGCACTGTGCTTTTGGTTTTGTTTTTAGTAATTCTATATACCAGCCTTTAGCCACTCAAAATACTTTTGCACACACTTCACACAGGGAGGGAATTCGTAATTCCTTTAAAACCAGTGGCCAAGTTTTCATTGTTCACCTGCTTTTCCTTACCTTTACATTCTCATTAAGACCAGAGATATACACATGCATAGAGACGAACATAAAATAGAGAATTATTCCCGAGGATTCAAAGGGGAAAACACCTGTAACAAAAAGCCACTGGAAGTAGCTGTGAACACAGCATGGCAAGGCTTAAAATAAGGCCCGTGATAAGTGTAATTTAATATATCTAGTGTGAGTTAAACAAGAACAAAAACACCCTCCAAAAGCAACTACCAAGAACAGCACACTATTAGCTATAACAATTAAAAATATAGAATTTTAAATTATTTAAAACAATTAGATAATGCTTAAACATAGAAGAAAAGCTTACGGAATCTAGAATTAAAAGTAGCAGGGTGACCCTCCTCTGAATTGCTAGTCCTGCCCTGTTTCCCCTCCTATGTTTTTCATCGGTTTAGATGAAGCTCTTTGGGGGAGACGGCTCCTCTTCCTACGCCGGCATGTAACCCTCGCCTGGATTTAGCACTCAAATCCTATCTGAACCTTTGCACTCCAGCCCCGACTCTTGTCGCCCATGCGCCGTGATTCTGCTTCAGTGGGATCTTTTGTTGAGGTAAGAGTCAGTAAATTCAGCTGCTGAGGTGACACGGATGAAGTCACAAAACTTTTTATTGATTAGGACCCTGATAACAAGATTTAACCTTCAGTGTTCAAATTTAAAGCAATGAACTAGGACCATCAGCCAGGTACGTAGCGCCATTTACTAGATCTAAATCCACTCTAGTACACTAAAATATAAATACAGAAAATAAATATTGGGTAAGGGGGAAGAGAATGGAGAGAAGGAGGGATTACCCAGTAAATGGTTAATCTCTGTTTTCACCAGTTCTTAGGCCAATACAGACAATTTAGTAATTCATATTCACTCAGTAGTTGGCCAAGAAACAAACCGTTTAAAACCCCTAGACATGTGCAGCTCATTTAAAGGAGCCCTGGCCTGCTGATCTTCTATCCCAGAGGGAAGGAGCACGGCGATCAAGTCATTTATTGCAGAAAATCCTACACTGCATTTTCAGAAGTAACATATATATACATATACATATTTATTTATTTATTTTTATTTATTTATTTAAAAAAAGGACACAGCTAGCTAAGCTGCTGTTTCCCCAAAACCTCACGTCAGACTTTTGACACTGATCTGCCAACCACAGTGAGAAAAAGCAAATCTATCTGGTGCCTTTTGCAAATACCGGGCCCTTTTCAAACAGGCCCCAAGTTAATCTGGAACGTTCAGTGGGGACAACTGAGAAGTTTGATGGCATTATTTTCAACGCTTTCAAAATGGTGAGAAAGGTTCGTGGGAGGGCATTAACTATAGCACGTAGGTTTAAATGGCCATTTGACAGCACTTAAAGACACATTTGACTGCAATTTTGTTGGGCATGTGTAGAAGCAGCTGCTCTACTGTCCATGTGAAAATAAACAGCCTTTTATTTCAGTTTCTAGAGCAGAGCACTGAGGGTATTGCAAAATTCAAAAGATCGTAGCAAGCTATTTCAAAGGTCATAAAGCAATGGAAGGAGAAAAGCAGCAGTTCATCCAATCAAATCCATCTCAGGCCAGGAAAGCAAAACCAAGTGAATATTTTGTAAGGTCTTATCACTGCCTTGATCTCAGGAAGGAAAACGAAATCTGAAGAGATGATGCCACAATTGTTATTGCATTCCAGGAGTGCATAAAATGTGGGTAGCCAGAGCCTCTTAAGGAACAAAGCAAGCAAAAAAAAAAAAAAACAAAACACAACGAAAAAGGAGTTGTAAATACAGCCCTAGGTTGTAAATACAGACGTGTTCTTCCGATGACATTATAGATCAGGACCAGTAAGGTTTTAATTCTGACTTCTGTTTTGGCAATTCTTATCTGGGTCAGTAAAGATATTCAGGTCCCCAAACTTTATTTATTTTCCTTCTCTTTGATGTAGAAAATATAGGATATTAAAAGCTGTCAGATGAGAGCCTTCATCATATAAATCTCTACAGTGCCTTTAGAATCGGTCGCTTGCATTTCTCAAGCTCTGCCAGCACCTCGCAACATCCTCGCAGCGGAAGAGAACCGGAGCGTCAGCCCAGAGACGCCCTGCGACGACAAAGCCCAAGCAGCTCTCCAGCTCACTACAAAGAGAAACGTCGGGCTTGGAAAAGGGAGCTGTTCTCAATTACTTCGGTGAACTGAAGTAAACGGAGAACTGCACAAAGCAGTATTCTTCCGTTTTTTTTAAACACACGATAAACAAGATGCCGAGAAAAACTGCGCCTGCCGTCGCCAAGCCCGCTGTAGGTGGTTTGTTCCACTGACCGGACTCGGTCAATCAGACACAGCTCCGCACTCACATCAGCCAGTTCTAATAATAACCTCCACAGAGGTCAACAATTCAACTCGGTACTAAACTCGACTCTCCGATACGAAAAACAGAGTGAAAAAAAAAAAAAAAAAGCTATTTCCTCCCTTTCTTTTCTTTGCAAGTCTCTGCATTTTGAAAACTTGCAGCAGCACAAGGATAAACAAAGGGTTATACTTTATGGGAAGGAAAAGCAAATTGTTTTTCTGCTTTCCAAAAAAACAGCTGGAGTCAGCAGAACATCATCTACCAGGCAAATGAAAAGACAGACACAGCGTGACCTACCAAGCTCGGCCATCCAATCGTTACCAGCCTAACTCTCTTAAAGATTAACTTCTATTTCTATTAAACTTCAAAACAACTGAGGACAAATCCATTCTAAGCAACAACAGCAGCAACGTTAGCATGTTTACAATAGGAATGAACATAATGAGAATGCAGAACTAGCTGTCAAGAAGACCAAAGTTTCCAAGTTTTAATGACAGTATGGAGAGGTCATCCAAGAAAAGATCACTCGGGGAAAGTCCTTCCAGAAGTACAGCAAAGCAAGCAAGTACTAAAAAACATCTGATCTTAGACTAAGCTTTAATGGGCCTATCACCCACAAAAACGTAGGTGAAAACCTACTGGCAATTATTTAGAATGTTTTTAAGCACACAGCTACTCTCTCCCTCTGTGCTTTGTAGTGACACACAGAGGAAACGCCCAGCTTCAAAGCTGTGAGAAGTAGAAAAATACTATTTTGATAGTCTGAACCGAAGCACGAGTTTTTTCCGCTAACTTAGTTAAGTTCCTACACCCAAGAACGCCAACTGGTGCTGGCCTGGGCAACGCTGATGAACAAGAAAGACTCCAGGCTCCTTCCAAACTGGCCCTGGCTAACAGCTGAGGATTTCACAGGCAGCACCCTGGTACCTCACATTCTTGGGTTTCCCACTGCCAAGGCCTAAGAGTTACCTACACTGAAATGGTACTGCAGGTAAATTCATTAGTAATACGATTGCTTGCTTTCTTCCCATCTTTTTTCTTAACAGATGCATAGTTTGCGACTATTTGGATTCAAAGATGGCTTTAGGCTAGTTGTTGTGTTGACATTATATCTGGTTACACTGAGAACACAGGAATCCTAGAAGTTACTGACCGCTCTCCAAAGAGCTATGCTCATGTCTGCTTCGTCAGTGAGCAAAGAGAAGGCAGGTTTATTTTACACTCTTTTACAATTACTTTTATGAAAATCTCTACCATCCTTCAGAGATTCATATCGAAGTGCCCATAATAAACCAAATCACCTCCTTGACTCATCTCTGAAGTTTCACACAAATACCCACTACTCTGACTTGGGACCTTTCCCTTGGTCTATGCTCCTACAGAGAACTAAGACTCCAGTCCTCCTCTTAAACTGTTTTCAGAAAGCTCATCCTCCAGCTTCAGTAATGGCAGCACGAATGCTCAGACAGCAGCCAAGAAGAGAAAACCAACACATTCCTTCCCTCCCACTTAGCTTTTAAACAAACAGTGCATTGGGAAAATACTGTTAAGAGGAACAGAGCCATTAAAAGTCATGTCTGCTCTAACAGAGATAAAGCCAATAAATCACAAAACATGCCACTTTTCAAACTTGAACCACTTCTAGTGGGGCAGCTCTTCATCAAGCTCCACAGCTTCTTCATGAGAAAAAAAAGCTTTTAGAAAAAAAAACATATATACATGTATAAGTGTGTATATATATATAAACCCAAAAGCCCAGTATGGGATGGAGAACTGGGGGCTAAACACTGCAAGGATTCCCAAGCTCCATAAAAATTTGGTAGTCTGCTACTTCACATCCAAGCACATCATTTCTGGAATCCCACAGGCAGTTCAAAGTCTGCAGGCACCTAAACTTTCAGGAAGGACCAGAGCTGCGTGTGTTATCTGCGATACTGCCCCACGTCCTCTTGCTCTCTCTGGACGAGCTCTCTCCGGGGGCTCTTCTCATTCACCAACCGTAGATGATGGCTTGAAGGGAAGCCAAATTTATACCAAATATAACACATACCAACAAGACCCGTTTTTCAAAAAAATACGTGCTGCAGGTGGAGGACCAGTATTTTAATAACAATTTTCCCACA